AACAATTTTCAGATAGTAGGGGTAGCAGTGCTAGTACTTTTACACCATGTAAATAATTATCTTAAAAACTATTTCGTTTGAACATTAGTTAAAATTGTTCATGTTTTAGTGGAATTAATATGGTGATACGTGTTGTTGTATTTTATCTAAGAGATTTTCGTTAGCTATAATATATTTAATGGAAAGTGTAGATATAAAGAAAAGAGACAGTTTTAATATACTTTGTGTGATTACTTATCTATCGTGTTATAAACTCTTTTGACCTGAATAATACCTTGGAAAGGGTTCTTCTTCGCCTTCTTATACTCTTTTGTGGTCTTTGCCCTCACAGATGTCTTATTTAATTGACCTTTGATATGTTACAGGGTTTCATCATGAGCTGGCATCGGTTAGAGAACCACTGGAAAACGAACAGTGAGTACTGAATAACCAACCGTTTTGTCCTAGTTTGGGGTCCGAACCCAGGACTTTCTGGTTACAAGACTAGCGAACTCATAGACCATTAAGCCACTGGGACTCGATCCAATGGCCAGCCAGTGCATGAATTCTAACTTCTGCCAACTCACGACATAGCGCGACCGCTAGCCAATGTCGTCGGCGAGTATTTGTCCTCACACCCTACCTGCTGCAGCCTACTGGTCACGACTTCCCACCAGAATCGCAGGTAACTACCTACCTGAATAGGGCCAGTTGCTAGTGAGCATCTCATCGACATTCAGTCAATCAAATCCCTACAAACCAATACTTGAATATCAATGAAATGCTCACTAGCGACTAGCCCTATTGAGCTATGTAGTTACCTGCGGTTCTAGTGAGAAGTCGTGACCAGTAAGGTGTGAGGACAAATACTCACCGGAGACATTGGCTAGCGGTCGTGCTATGTCGTGAGTTGGCAAAAGTTAGAATTCATGGACTTTCTATTGGATCGGGTCTCAGTGGCTTAATGGTCTACGAGTTCGTTAGCCTCGTCCTGGGTTCGAACCCCGGTGTGTGCTTAGTGCCAGAGAGTCCCAAACTAGGACGAAACAGTTGGTTATCCAGTACTCAGTGTTTGTTTTCCAATGGTTCTCTAACTGATGTCAGTTTATGGTGAAAGTTGTTGTTGTCGCAGTTGTCCCAGTTAAACCTGACTTCTGTGTCCAACTCAGTGTAAGGGAACATTTCCAACTGATCAGTCGGCTATAGCGCCGTGACTGAAGGCTCATTCTAGTCTGTATTGTGAATAATAAGGTTGTCACTTTTATTGTCGCAAAATAATGTTGTAACGGAGTGTTTAGTGTTGTTGTTTTTGTCTACGCTTGACTAGAATGAGCCCTCTGTCACGGCGCTGTAGCCAACTGACCACTTGGAAATATTCCCCCACACTGAGGTAGCCACTGAAATCATGTTTAACTGTGACAACAACAACGACAACTTTATTATTCACAATCCAGAGTAAATTGCCATTTACACATCAAGGGATATTTAAACCATAGATGAAAAAAATCAATATCTAATTGATTCCATCAATCATGACGTTACGGCTAATAATGATAATTAGTTCATCCTAACAATGACCATAATATTTTCATCCATTGGTTTGTAGGAATTTGATTGATTGGTCATAAGAATTCATCATGAGCTGACATCGGTTAGAGAACCATTGGAAAACCAGCTGGGGGTACTGGACAGCTGTTTCGTCCTAGTTTTGGACTCTTCATCAGTACGCATCCACAGGGTTTGAACCCAGGACCTTCTGGTTACATGGCGAGCTCGTAAATCATTAAGCCATAATAATTAAAGAATTATTGTTGTTAACAACATTAATGATGTTTTAAATAACTTCGAATCAGTAAAATTGAGAGATTACAGTTCTAAAGCATCTGTAGGTGACAATATGCATCAACACAATACAAAACTAACCATCAGATAAATTAAGGAAGGTAATACAGAATTTATGATTTTATAAGTTTCACAGAAGGCCAGGATGATAATAATGGCTGGACCTGTTTCTTTCTCACGCTTCGGCTCTGGTTGTTTTAATGGAATTTCAGTGTCTTTCGATAATTTATTCGGTAGCCGACAGTGCCGACAGAAAAAGACTCTTCTATGTATTATCTTTGTGGTCTGTTTGAATGAAGTGATCCATTATAGGAGTGTTGATCGTTTTAACGACACTTTTATTTAGCCATATTGGCGAGTATTCCTCCAACATGAAAATTTAAGTTCCTAGAAGAACGGTCAAAATAACTAGCTCTACAACAGCAGTTGAATTGATTGATGCAATAAGAGGTGGCTAGTCTAGGTACTTCGTCTTTCAGTTTCGGAATGACAACCAGTCATGTGGAAAATGTGAGTTGCAGCTTACTAGCTTTAAAAGTTATTATTCCTCTTGATAGATCACCTTTAAATTTCAGTCTTATATACAGAGACTGCATATTATCACGTACAGGCAGGCCCATTTGAATTGTAATTTACCAATATTTTTGATTCAGTGTTATTTGTAACTTCAATGTTGTTAATAACAATAATTCTTCGAACAGTATGGTCATATAACTGTACGACCTGATGAAGACTTTACTGGAAAGAATATTCCTTGTTCACTAATTCGTCTTTTAAAATCCCATTGTTAATTATGATGATTGTATCAATGACAACAGAATGCACTTCATCATTTCATTGAGACTTTTCATCACAAATGTAATTTTAAGTATGAAAACTAGGGGAACGGAAGAAATTTCACCTGAAAGGGGTGATTTTGGTTATTTCATTCTTTGAGCTGATCGATTCGATTGCAGTTCTCACTGTCACGCTAAAAAAGACATTACCACTACTTTGAAAATGAAATTAACAATATACGTTTTCTCAAGCATGGTGTATTAGTTTCCCTTTGTAGCTGTGTGTTTGTGTGCGCGCGATTGTTTCTATAGTCACCAGAAATTGATTTTCAAGTTTTGATTTACAGGGATTTGATTGTTTTCAAGACTGATCATGAGCTCACTTCAGTTAGAGGACCACTGTTTAGTCCTTGTTTTGGGACTCGTTGGCAGTGTGCACCCTCTATCGCACTAAGGATCCTACCCGACGACCTTCAGGCTACAAGGCAAGCTTATTAACCATTCAGCCACTGGGATGTTTTTCAATAGTTCTCTAACTGAAGTCAATTCGAGATCAATCTTGAAAACTATCAAATCCCAGCAAACCAACACTTGGAAATTAACCCAGTGCTCATTAGTGACTCACTGCAGGATTAAGTTGTCTGACATTCTAGTAGAAAGTGGTGGTCAACAGGATCCACCAGTTTGGGCCTGAGTACAGATACTCACAGATGATATTGGCTAGCAGTAGCTCTATGTCACGAATTCTCAGAAGTTACAGTTAATGGATCATTGGATTCCACCCAAGTGACTGAATGGAATACAAGTTAGCCTTGCAACCTGTAGAAATCGATTTATCGATCTTTTGGTGTGTAGTGAGTTAACCTATTTGTATAAACGACTGATAAAAGCGCATTAGAAACCCTATTACTGAGAACATTCTTAGATGTTTTAGGCTTGTAAACTCTTGACATAAAGCAAAAAATAAACTTCGTTACTGTAACAGCATTTTGAAACATTAATGTAAGAGTAACATTTGGCCACTATAGTAGAATATAATTGCCTAATAGATAAGTTTATATGAAATGACACACATTCAGTTGTTAATAGTGTATCATGGTGTGTGCGTCGGTAGTTCAGTGGTCTGGGACTTGATCCTCGGCTGACTTACATCTTAACCTCGCTTAGCTGACAGTAAGTCCAGTAAAGAGGGAAGTTTGAGTGTGAGGTTAGGAACCTCATCCCGCAAAAAAAATAATTACCACTGCTACTGAAACTCCAGAGCTCATGCTTCCACTGGGATCGCAAAAGAATGATATTAAAAAATAAAATGGAAGCATTTAAAGCATTCTGTGATTCAGAAAATAACTTACTTTTCTATTAATAGTTTTCAAAGCCATGTTTGAACTCCTTAATATAAACAGAAACGCTACAATAAGTACTGGATATAGAAGAAGCAGCTTACTAAAGTAGTTATTCAGTTGATATTTCAAGTTCACTGTTGTCAGATCTAGTCATCACATGATGATGGATCATAAGTTTATGATTTCGTCTCTGATTTTTTTTCTACCTCTTTTAGTTATATACGCTTACTTAGTTTGACTGCTACGACAAATGTATTAGGCCCTACACACGTGTTATCTCCAGAAATTAAAGTTATCAATTCCTTGTGTGTCATCTTTTGCAACCAATAAATAGGATGGCTATATATATATACATATATATATATATCATTTCTTTGCGTTCCGACTGAAACATAGGGCTTCAAGCGTACGTCTTAAAGTTTCAGTAGCAATGGTGCTGTTTTCACGGAGTGGAGTTGTCAACCTCACACACAGAAGTGAGTCGGCCGGTAATGCTACCCGGGCAATGTGTGTGGTTGGCGAGAAATCTACCACTGAATCACCGGCGTATATATACTGAACAGTGTTCAACTTATCGACCGCAGCTGCTACCTGTGACCATAGTTCACACCTGGCTATACTATTAATTTAAGTTACAATCAGTGAGGCACTTGGTCACTATTGTAATACCATACCATAAAGCCCGCTGGGTCAACAATGCAATCAGCGGAGTATTATTTCATTCTCAAGAAAACTGCCTTTCTACCTTGAATACAACTGAGATGGGTACCGACTAGTACTGAAATTAATATATCTAACGTAGAAAGCTAATTTAACTTGATTATTTACTTATTTCAAGGTGTGTTTGCAAATACAACTAAAAGTAACTGTAATTATATTTTTTTACCTCTTGTAAGTTAACGCCTTTTCTGATAAATATATTGATATTCTGTTGATTTATGTTTCTCAAACAGAAAGAGAAGCATGTACCACTCATTTTCACTTTATTGATTTAGCAGTTTACACAGTTTAAATTCTCTCATCTCTTGTCTCTTTTCTCTTCTTTTTAAACTAAACATAGATGCGCAGAAAATTGTGCACGTTGTGTTGGTTCAAAGTCTGATGAATGCCGTGAATGTTATCCTGGTTTCCGATTAATTCATGGAAGATGTGTTGATAGTTCATCGGCTGATGGTCGTTGTAAACCAGGTTAGTTGATGGCTGACGTTTTTCTTCTTCTCATTATGATGCTTTAAATTGACAGTTGTATATGATGACACTTTCTATTGACTAGTCATTCAGCAAGTAGTGTTTAACGTCTAATTCGAATGAAAATGACCAGTCTAACGGTAATTTATTGATAAATTACTGTAAAATGTTGAGCTCAACAATGTTTTTACAAGACAATAAGGTATTTCCAATCTTTACGTTTGCTTAACAAATATGCTGAAGAAAACGGAGATGGATCAGATGTACGCTGAAGAGACCGTCGAGTGATATCGAGCACCAGGCCGTCAAGTGGAACCCGAATGAGAAACAACGAGTAAGGTGTCCGAAGGTGACATGGAGGAGGTCGTGCGAGGAGGAGATGAGAGAATATATTCAATCGTGGGTTAGCCAATGAGGATTGTGGAGAACACGACAAGTGGAGACGTTCTGTTGAAGCCCTATGTCCCACTCGCAATTCAAGGGAACAATAATAATAGTCTTTTCTTTGATTAACTATTTGCTATAGCCATTTGCCGTACTACTTAAACAAATTAATTTTCAGATAACTCTCTCGAACAACATTTCGAGCTAAATATACTGATGTTTAAAGTCTGTACATAAATGTGATAGTTGACACAACTTACCATTGTACCGCATTCTTGTTAATTTTAAGAGTAATATCATACAACGGCGGCCTGCTTGAACATAGGGCTACCAAAAATTCCACCTTACCACATTTTGCAAAATTGCTTTGGTTTGCTCTTTTAATTTTGTTTTAATTTATCAATAATGTGTTCTAATCGTATTATTTATAATCGCGCATTTTTAAAATCATTACAACCTACTGCGTTGTGTCATCCACAAAAATTGAGAAAAAAGCATCACTGTGGATGGCAGCGTGCACTGAAACGTACACAAATTAATCAAATGACTATTCCTGAACTCGTTAGCACTAATTGTAGATCCCTGTATAACAAAATGGATTATCTTCAATCCCTAATGTATTCTAATGTTTATCGAAACGCTGGCGTTTTAGCAATACAAGAGACTTGGCTGCACCAGCATTATGATGATAATCTAGTTTCAATAAATGGATATAAAGTTTTTCGACAAGATAGAAAAAGTTCTAAGAAAAAATGTGGAGGAGGGGTAGCCACTTTTATAAACACAAGTTGGTCTACATCAAATCACGTTTGCTTCAATTATTCTAGTGACAATATAGACTGCATAACCGTCAGGTGTCGCCCAAAACACTTAAGTAAATATTCTTACATATACATAACAAATATCTACATAACACCCAATTGTAGCCTTTCAAATATAGTTACGTTTGCAGATGAATTTACTGAATTCGCTGCTCCTGCATTCGGAAACTCGCTGTCTATAGTCTGTGGTGATTTTAATTCATGTGATCACAGCTTTCTTACTTCACTTGGTCATGAGAATCTAGTCAAGTTTAATACACGTCTGGACAAATCACTAGACCTGGTTTTCATAAACGACCGTGATGTATATGAAACCAGAAGGAGAGCTCCTTTGTTAAACTCTGACCACTGCATTATTCATATTTGCATGGAGTTCATCATGAGCTGAGTACAGCTGTTCGTCCTAGTTGCTCTTCAGCAGTACGCGCCCAACGGGATTCGAACCCAGGACCTTCTGGTTACGAGGCGAGCTCGTAGACCATTGAGCCACTGGGACCCGATCCAATGGTCCTTGAATTCTAACTTCTGCCAATTCACGACATAGCGCGACCATTTCGCAATGTCTTCTTCGTGAGTACTGTCCTCATCTTCGACCTGCTGTACCCTACTGGTCACGGCTTCCACTAGAACCCAGGTTAACTGCCTGAATAGGGCCAGTCACTAGTGAGCATCAGATTAATTGCAAGTATTGGAAAGTGTACGGCAAGTTACAACAACAAAAATTGTTTAGTCATTTAACAAAGAAGATACATGAACGTTCATATTCCCATGACAACATTCTAGCACTAAGAAGCATGTTGTATGATACCAACTGGGAACTATTTACTGACGATAAGTTGGATGCTACTGTCTCTAATATAACCGATTATCTGAAGTTTTGTTTGGATATTTGCTGTCCATATGAAACACTGTTTTCGAGATTTGACAGAATCTCTTCTTTGCAGCTGAAAAAACTTAGAAGACAAAAAGAGAAGTTGTATAAAAATTGTGATAATACTGGTGTCCGTAAAATAAACACCCTTATAAAAATTGAAATAGAAAGATTGAACAGACTATATAATGAAAAATTTTTATCATGTAAAAATCCTTCAAACATTTGGAAACTTTTCAATAAACTTACAAGTAAAAAACAAATGTCTGTTGATGCTTATTCTGATGTTAATGCTTTAAACAAATCATTTATCATGAAACAAATTAATATACCTGTACCTGATGTAACTAGTCAAGATAATGGTAATTTTCCGGGTTTTAAAGAAGAGGATGTACTATTATGTTTGAAATCTTTAAATCCAACACACAGCCTTGGTCCAGATGGTGTACCAGGCATTCTTCTTCAGAAGTGTGCAGACATCTTGTGTCATCCTCTTACTCAAATCTTTAATGCATCATTTAACAGGGAAACGGTACCTGCTGACTGGAAAGAAATCAAGGTTGTACCTGTACAGAAATCATCATCTGGAGCAGGTATAAAGTTTAGACCGGTCGCTATAACATCTCCTTTTTTGAAAACTATGGAGAAACTTCTTTTGAATACTCTTAAACCTTCTTTAAAAGCTTTTAGTGACCCTAAGCAGTTTGCTTATAAGTGTGGAAGAAGTACATTAGATGCAGCCATTGTACTACACCACAATATTGTTTCCTGCCTTGATAAGGGTGCTAAGTTCGTTCGAACAGCTTTTTTAGACTGTACTGCAGCTTTCGACTCTGTTCCTAGGACACTTTTATTAGGAAAGATGATTTCAGCACAGACAGAGTCCTGGGCAACTAGATGGCTGTCTTCTTATTTTAAGGATAGGAAACAGCATACTGTTTTGGCTGGAAAGCGCTCCACTTCTCAGCTAACTGAAAGTGGTGTGCCTCAAGGAGCAGTACTTTCTCCATTTCTTTTCTCTTTCTTTTTGCATGACCTTCCGAACTCACCCAACGTTAACTTCATTAAGTATGCTGATGATCTGACCGTTTCTGTCCCTGTAGTTTCCACATTGGATTGTTCCCATATGAATGGCTTCTTAGCTGAAGTTAAGGATTGGTCTAGCTCAAATGGTCTTAAACTAAATCCAACTAAATGTAATACTGTTGATTTCAGCTTGAGAAATGAAAAAGACATGCATGGATTGATCCAATCTCATGATTGTTGTAATATTGATGGTACCATGATAGGGAGTAAGTCAAGTGTTTCTTATCTTGGCATTAGTTTCTCTTCAAACCTTTGCTGGTCGTCTCATATTCTTATAGTTTCTGAGATAGTTTTCCGTCTGACTTATTACATAAAGAAGTTGAGGCACTCAGGTATAACCCAACCTCTTCTCATACAATTTATTAATTCATGTGTTTTGCCTATCATTCTTTATTGTTCTCCATTATTCTTCCCTGGGCTACTCAAAAAAGACCATATAATACTACGAAGAACATTGAGGGCTGTAAGTAGGGTCAGTGCTATCCCTTTGACTCAACTAACCGACACTGTTGTCAATAGGCACATGAATTCTTGTAAACACTTAGCTAAAGTTATTTTGTCTGATAGTGAACATCCTCTTTATTCACATTTGTTTCCTTGTATCTCTTCGGGTAAGACCAGAAGAAATTTCATAAACATTTATGCTCGTACTACAAAATATAAAAATTCGACTGTACCATATTTGGCACGAGTATTGTGTGAAGAGACGAATATCAGAAAAGAACTTTTACAACTTCTAAATCATTAACTAAACTAAAAAATGTAATGATGTATATTATTGCATGTGCGATTTGTTATATTATTTATTTATTATTCACTATGACCTGGAAATGGTGTATTTTGTTGGGGTTTTTATTTTTCCTATTAACTATTACTATTTTTAAAATTTTATACATTTATATAATTATAAAAAGAGCTAAACCAATGCAATACGTAAAATGAAACGCTGAAAATTCCATGCTGTAAATTGTTATTGTTGTGGAATAAAGTGATTATTATTATTATTATGTTTACAAACGGTGAACTAAATTTTGATCAGTTACCACCCTCACTTACATTTCTACAGGTTAGGTCTTTCAGTAAAAGTGAGAAAGAATATGAAAGATACTTTCTGTTAAACAGTGGAAAGTTTTAAGAAACATACAGAAACGAATAACTAATTTCATTTTAGGATTTCATCATGAACTGGCATCCGTTAGAGGACCATGGGAAAACCTGGAATACTGGACATGTGTTTCATCCTAGTCGGGGACCCTTAACCAGCACGCACCCGATGAGGTTTGAACCTTAGACCTTCCGGTTACAAGGCGAACACGTAGACCATTAAGTCACTGGGTCCCGATCCAATGCCCATAAATTCCGACTTCTGCCAATTTCTTATGTAGCGCGACCACTAGCCAATGTCATCACTGGCGAGTATCTGTCCTCACACCTGGCTTGCCATACCCCACTGATCACGACTCCCCTCTAGAGACCAGGTAATTAAGTACCTGAATAGGGCCAGTCACTAGTGAGCATCAGATTGATTGATATTCAAGTATTGGTTTGTAGGGATTTGATTGATTGGTTTCAGGAACGCATCATGAACTGACATCGGTTAGAGGTCCATTGGAAAACCATCTGGGAGTACTAATTGTAATTTGATTGTAAATGAGTGAAGTTTACTAGTTTATCAGTCCACTAGTCGGCCCTAAGCCTGAAAAAAGAAGGAAGGTTGGGCGTAGGACTAACGACCCTTCCCTGCAATCTCTTCAGAACCTTCAGAACATAGAAAACATATAAAAGCATTATTCTGACCTGGGAACTGAGAGGCAAAACGACGCTGGTTGGTGAAAGCCTTCGGGAAACCAGTCAACCGATGTGTATTCTTTCGAGGACAGGGAAAATTAGTGTATGCACATGGAATGTTTACACGATTTTTGAATCTTGGAAGGCTGCTCAGATTGCAAAAGAAACGTGATGATATAGCTTAGAAGTGCTAGGAATCTATGAGAACGAAATATAATGTAATTAGGTCTCTCTAAATCGTCAGTTTGAAAGACAATAATCTACTCCAGTCACATAGACGGCAACCACTGGCGCACTGGTGGAAGTGTCACTATCATGATGTCACTGACATGCGTCGAAGGTTCTTATGCAATGGGGATGAGCCTCTTTCAGGATCATAACAACAAGATTCAATTCAAAAGGTAGCAAAGTTACAATTATCCAATGCTAAGCTCCCCGAAAACAACGCAGACCAAGAGATGATGTAAGGCTTCTACAGACAACTGCAAACAGTAGTGGACAAGACTCTAGTTAGATGATGACATCAAAATTCTAATGGGTGAAATGAATACTGGTCAAACTGGAATCAGACAATACAAGAAGAGAGCTCATTAGAAGTCGAGAGGCTCTTTGAGAAATGAATGAGAGCGGCGGAGGACTACGAATCAGAACCGGATTTGTAGATAAAGCAAACATAGGAAAAATAGGAACAAATAGTTCAGCGAAGAGGCTCTTCACAGCCGTTTCATTCACTTAGCTGTATAGTCGTAAATATATATCATTATTTTTATACCTTTGCATGCCCATGCAGTCTGTCAAACGAAGCAAATTTAAAATGCTTCTGCTTGGAGTATTGTTTACGTACTCAAAATATTTCAAATCACTGAAGCTTAATCAAATTGTAACTATGGGAGAGGGTGGGGTTGAAGTTCATTAAGTTTAGACTAAAAGTGGCATATTATGGGAAAAACATTCAGATAAATTGGATGTTAATCAGAAAGCATACAGATAAGTATTGAAATATATTATGTGACAGGTGGAGGGAGTGTAGAAAAAAGTTAGTTAAGAAAATGATATCAATAAATACCATACCAGAAATGCAAACAAAAAGGATTAATAACAATCGAGCTTGGAGTTATATCCAAGGTAGAAGGAGGTAGTGAAGAAGTTCCTTTCATATACATAAATCAGGGTTTTCCATCCGAATGGCTAAGGCTTCAACAATGCAAAATATACGGAAACATACCATTTTCGAAAGGCTTCTATTTCTCATTTTCTCTTCGTTGAATTGTTTGTTCTTATTTCTGTGTCCGGATGGATATTCTTGGCGTCTTAATATAGTTTAACTCAACATGAAAAGTAAAGTGTGAATGTCATAAAAGAAGTTGAAGAAAATACAACTGGATCACAGTAGAACTCACATCCGTGATCCTCGCTTTATTATCTACATTCCCTACCGAATAAGACAAAAGACCCGAGTACTTATCATTTCACCTGTAACAGCAGAAGGCAAGACACTGAAGCCAAGGTATATTTTCCAGTGATCAAGCCACTACTCAAATATATACGGTCTTATATTCTTTAACCAATCACTGAGCGTATGACTTTGGTTTACATTAAATGACAAAAAATAGAATGTTCAAATATACATAGTATTCTGCTGTTAACGCAGTAGTGAACTGTGGGAATATGTGAAATAATACTCTGTTAGATACCACCACACATGTATGTGCCGAGAGGAAAATGAGTAAGTACATGAGGAGTACATAAATTTCCATACGTCATCAAACTAGCTGACCAACCAGGTTTTCTCATCCATCTCTAAATTACTGGATGATTTTTTATTCGAGGACCCAGGACATTATGGTTACAAGGCGAGTTCGTAGACCATTGAGCCACTGAGACCCGATTCAATGGCCAGTGCATGAATTCTAACTTCTGTCAATTCACGACATAGCGCGACCATTTTGCAATGTCTTCTTCGATGAGTTGCTGCCTCATCTTCAACCTGGTCGCGCTATTTCATGAATTGTCAGAAGTTAGAATTCAAGGACCATTGGATCGGGTCCCAGTGGCTCAATGGTGTACGAGCTCGCCTTGTAACCAGAAGGTCCTGGGCTCGGACCGTAGTGGTGGGTGCGTACTGATGAAGAGTCCCAAACTATGACGAAACAGCTGTCCAGTACTCCCAAGTTTTCCAGTGGTTCTCTAACTGATGTCAGTTCATGATGAAACCCTCCATCTAATCAAACAAAATCCCTACAAAACCAATACTTGAAGATTTTTTTATTCTACTGTCTTGTTATGGCAGTTGTAAAGACAGTTGTTGTAAAAGCTTCGGGATTTATTCGCAGAAGTGACAAGTTAGCGCCTCAAGGATTTAAATCTAGACTTTTCTTTCGGATTCACTTGTCCCTCTCCTAAACGTAATTAGCTTCCTAAACCAAGTTCATCTCAAACGAACTAGTCGATCAACTAAACCACTAATAACTAAAATCTTTTTGAAAATCTCCCTGTCTCATATTTGCAACTTATTTGATTTCATGTATTAATAATTTGTTAGACAGAAATAATTATCTCTTTGCTTTCTGTTTCTTTTTTTTTAAACAAAATTTTACCCCCAGGACAATATTTAAAACATTCCGAATGTGTAAATTGTCATCCATCCTGTGATAAAGCAGGTTGTGTTACTTCAAATCAGTGTAATTGGTGCCCTAGTCATTTACCGTAAGTTCAAATTAGTTGCAAATTCCTATTGATTTATTTCTGTTCTTTCCTAGCAGTCTTATGAGTTGTGATGATAGTAAAGAATTGCATTTTGAACAGCATTACTTCCTGAGAACACATCAGTTATTGAAATTTCTTATACCCACGAATAATAATTTCATTTCAATGTAGAGTTAGTTCATCATGAACCAGTATCAGTGAGGAGATCATTGAAGACCAAGAAGCATTGGATAGATACTATGTCCTAGGTAGGGATTCTTTGACAGTGCTCACTGCCGAATCCACCAAGAATCAAGTCCTGAACTTTCAGGTTAAGAGGCCGAGCTGGCTCGTTGACCATCCAGTCTCCCATTAATTTCGACCCCGGTCAATTCGTGACTTAACGCTGACTGGACTGACTGGCGACTAGTTTCAACATAGAACTTTGTACCCATGTGCAACAGTTCAAGTCGCCACACTTCACTCAGCACACAAAGCAAGAGAAGAAAGTAAATAGAAACGCAAAATAGAGACAGTAAACAGAGATATGAGGCAAAAAGAATAGTAATATCGATGCATCTGCGCCAGCCATTGGTGATTACCGTCCCGAAGACCCCAACCAGGAAGTCTACACCTTCCTATGTGACTGGCTTACACTAACTGATGTGGATTTCATTGACTGATGAGGCCATGTTTTCGTTTGACCACCACTGGCTCTTTTCCAACCTGCCCCTATGTCAGCTAAGATTGCCTGTCGGTCGAGGAAGGTGATGACTAGAAGGGCATGAGTAACACATGTCCTAACCATCTCAGTCGATGAAGCTTCACATCCTCGTCTGTTGATTTCCCATATTTACCTAGCACTTGACGCCTAACCTCGCTATTGCTCACCCTATTATACCATTTCACACGGGAAATAGAATACAGGCACCTATGATCAAAGACAGCTAGCTAGATTTAAAACTACTTTCAACTAATGCTATCGATGAGTACTCAATGCACCTTGTCATCGTAGACCCCACTGGCCACGACTTCCTATTACAACTTTGGGTGGTCACTTCTTAAATTTATGGGTTTTGTAGGAATTCGGATTAATTTCATCTCAAACTTCATCAGGAACCAACATCAGTGAAAGAATCATTGAATCATTCATCCCAAAAATGTAAAATCTTATCATGGATATTCTAAATAGAAAAAGTTTGGATTAGCTAGTAGAAGTCGAACTTATTTTGACTTGACTTAATAATGAAATGTATAAAATTTAGAACGAAAATGTTGATTCATTGTTTAATTCAAATTCTAACCAATGATCTAATCGCCTCCCAATTAAGCTACAACACTACACCTAGTCATACATATTGTGTAGGCGGGTAGTTAGACTGTGATGAAATCTGTCAACATTAATATACTGAAATATATGTGGGATAATTGTTGACAAATATAGTAAACACACTTCTCCTCCGCTTGATATTACTCATCACATGGTCGGCTAGAAAGAATAAACAGCCAGGAATAATCTGCCTTGCAGAGAACCAGTCAACCAAGGAAATGGAGATTAATTGGAAATATGCTGAAGAGACCTTCAAGTGACGTCACACGCCAGGCGGGTTGTTAAGTGAAACACGAATTGAAAGTGATGGGTTGAGAATCTAAATGTGACATGTAGCAAATTATGTGAAGAGTGGTTGTGGAACTCGTTAGATGTGACTGTAGGGTGACCGATCGAGATACATCTCTGAAGCCGGATGTACCACTAGTGACGCAAGGAATGCATAATAATGCATTACTATAATAATAATGGCTTTATTCTAAACAGTGTTTATAACAATGTACAAAAATTTTCAGTGGAGTTCATTGTATGATATTTTCTCCTCGTCTGTGATCTTCAAATAAAATATTAAATTGACAGTAGATCGTGGGACACAGTGCTATCTGACCTGAAGCACAAACCAATCCATTATGATCTGTCTTCTTTGTCTCCTTCGAGAAATGCATGACATTTGTTTGAATGCCGATAATGAGAAGTTCAGGAGTACATTTTGTGAACCGAGGGGACAACTCAGGAACAACTATCTCATGTACTGGGATAAGCTGCCATCCAGCTGGATTATGCTTTTTCTCAAGTTTAGTTTTTCTTTTATTCCTTTACGTTCCCGGTGGAACATAGGGCTTCAAGCTACAGGCTTGAAGTTTCTGTAGCAGTGGTGTTTACTTTTACGTGATGGGGTTGCTAGCCTCGCGCCCAAACTTCTCTCTTTTACCAGTCTTATTACTGGCTTAGCGAGGTAAAGGAGTGCGTTGTTGGCCGGGGATCGATCCTCGGACCACATGTGTGGTTGGTGAGCATTCTACTTCTGTGCCACCGACGCACTGGCGACGGGGATGGGATACGAACCCACGTGGGGAAACCCCAATGTATTAGCACTCCATTACCTACTAATCAGCAGGTTGTAATTTTTTTAAATACTCACCAGAGTAAATAATAAATACAGTTAGATGTCATATTTTATTATATTTAAACAAACTGAACAAGAGAAATGATATACAATATATTGATCGAGGTTTTCGGTAGCCTAAGTTTTTGATGTGGTTGTATTCTCTGAGCTGGAGAGCTAATTTGCGAAGCTTTCATCACCCTACTAGGCGAAATCTTCAACGCATACTTCAATTTGAAGTGAGCTTTTAGATTTCTCCACGAGTTTATTAATCATCTCTCCTGGTGACCTTGGGCGTGATTGGTTGTTTTTGTGTGTTTTCACATCCTCTAGGCTACTTGTATTGGAATTGATTGTTTCTTTGACTTGAACTTTGACTCTTTGTGTGTAAGGTTTCTTTCTTATCGGTCGATAAATTTTGTCTATCTCGATGTTTCTATTAATTGATGATTCACTGGAATACCAGGCTTCTAAACATTATCTAGCATTCTTGTTGTTTCCTCAGTCTAATATTTGAACATCGTCCCAATCGAATTGATGTCTGTGGTTGTCTGTATGTAGTGATATGAGCAGAGGGTGGATGTCATGTCTTTTGACGGCTAGCTTATGTTCATGGATACGAAGACGAAAGGGACATCCACTTTGGCCAGTGTAGTGTTTTTCGCAGTTGATACAATCTATTTTGTAGATGATATTGGTTTTATCTTCCTTCGCTGTTGAGTCTTTTGGTTGACATAGAACTGAGTGAAGTGATATTGTTGGTTTGTGTGCGACGTCAATTCCTAAAAGTTTGACGAGTCTTCCAGTGATTTCTGATATATCCTTTAAATATGGCAGGACGAAATTCTTTGTGCTTTCCTTGGGGGCTTTTGGTTTGATAGGTTGGCTTGGGGGTATATGTCTTTTGATGAAATTTCGTGGATATCCATTCTTTTGGAAGACGTCCATGAGATATCTCTCTTCAATTTTCCTTAAGGTGGGAGTGCTGCAATGAGTCCTGGCCCTCTTGAATAATGTTCGTATGCAATTCTTTTTGTGTGTTATTGGATTGTTGCTGTTGTAATTGAGTATTTGTTCTGTGTGGGTTGATTTTCTATAGACTTGGGTTTCTAATTCCCCCGTGGTTGTTCACTTCACTAAGACGTCCAAAAATGGGATTTTGTTCTCGGTAGCCTAAGTTTTAAGCAGTCTGCCCCGGTAGATATTGTGAGGCTCATCTGAAATTATCACTTTATGATTTCTTCATAACTTATTGATTGATTATTGATGATTTTGTAATGCACAACTTTTCAAACTCGCATTAATGTCCACAATTGACAGTTGAATATTATCCGTCAAATAAAAACAAAATATACTCACTTTATACTTTTATTTGTTGTAGGAATTATTTCAATGGTACTTGTACAAAATCCTGTCCAGAAGGTTGGTATTCCGGTGTGCAGATTCGACCTCCATTTCACTCAAATATACAAGATCAAATTTCTTCTGGTAAACAGCCATCAGTACACATGTGTGAACCTTGTTCACCTGGTTGTCAAAAGTGTATTAATTTCAGTTTATGTGAGATGTGCTTACCGTATTTAATGCTGCACAATGGTACTTGTATACTTCCGGAAAACAACACAGCTGCTGATAACATCACTCCTACACTTGTTAATAAAAGTAATACGTAAGTGACTATTTCTAGCAGGTTGATATCATTGCCGCATATCATGATATTCGTGTAGTCAATTTTTATCAAGATTTCTACATAAAACGCTCGTGAATCATTTGTGAGTACTAAACGATGAACATCAGAATCTAGAAAGAGAGTTTTCTTTTGTTAAATAGAGAACAGTTTTTATTGGACACTGTCTAGTGGTGTACGTCCAATCCTTTGTTTGGTTTAAACTGAATTATATCAGTCGACTTTGCAATATAGCCACCATGCTAGGTGGCTCGCCATCACGGCACACTAAGAATTGTTGTTATCAGATGGTTAGAGACTGTTGGCAGGAATCCTTGGACACCTAGGTTTCGTGCTTGTTGGCACTCACCAGTCAGCAAGGCGTATCTACGGTCTTGAAGGAACTCATACACACTGATGTGATCAATGATAATTGAAAATAAAAAGAAGACATGAGATCGTACAAGAACTTGAGTTATATGCCTTCTGAATGCTGGGACCTGGAACTCTACCAACTGACCTAGAAAACCCATGCCAACTGTCACTTTTGTTTGCCCAACGTTTGTGAATCATCACGCTCTGGTGATGTTATTATTTCATGACATTTTTAGAAATATATCTAAATCTCAACTAATATTCTTAAAAGTAAGTGTTCAGTATTGCGAAATGCAAGGAGGATCCATGAATATTCTGTGATGCTATTTTTTTTCCTTTACGTTCCCCGTGAAACATAAGACTTTAAGATACAGACTTGAAGTTTCAGTAACAGTGGTGTTTATTTTTACAGGATGGGGTTGCTAGCCTCATACGCGACCTTCCCTCTTTACCAGTCCTATTACTAGTAAGGGAGTGCGTTGGCGGAGATCGGACCCCAGACCACCTGAATGGCTGGTGAGCATCCTACAGCTGTGCCACCAACGAACACCTTGTGTGCGATGCAGTGTAGATAAATAGCAAGAGTTTTACAAGGTTCTGGTCAAACCTACAACTTGCAATTTTTGAATGGCTTTTTAGATATTTCACTGCATTGGTCCAGCTTCTGAAGTCATCTGACTAGCAGCGAAATATTGTATGGATTGATAAAGTAATTTATGGTAATGTGCATGCGAGTAGAATTTTCGACTGATGGTTGTTCCATGATTTGTGTGATGATTGGGATACTACCTGGACTTCAAGACTGAAGAAAGTGGTCGTCTTAAGGGATCGCTTCCCGATTCTTTTACATGAAGTCTATTCCACAAGGCAGTAGAACAGCATCAGGAGCTGTGTTTCCATGTATACGCTATTCAATTCTTTCTGATTGGGGGGCCCATGTGCATCATACGTTTGGAATCAGAATTCTCCAACCCCCTTCCCTTTAGGTGGGCCTCCGTGTCCACCAGCCTAGTGATAAGCGCCTAACATTCGTATTCGTCCTTTTACTTTTGTGAAGAACACTGCCACATTACATGAAAGCGCTGAATAGGAGTTATCTGACGGAGGCTATGAACGTTTGTCCATACAACAGAATTTCGAGGGAAAGGTCTTCGACAGTACTAGGTCATTTATGGGAGTGAATTATATCTCTAGGCTGTAGTTAACCTAAATGCCAGTTTCATCTCCAATCTGTTACTTAAATATTACTTTGTATGAAGCAAGCAGCATGTTATGTGGTCACTAACTAAATAACTATACTGAAAATTTAACTTTTCGTGTTACACTACTTATTTATGAAAAAACTGTATAACATTCTGTATTTACTAATAACTAAGCTTCAGTAGTTAAAAATCTCTGAAAAATAATACTAAGAATTATATAATTGTCTTAAACAAGTAACTTGTAGTCACTGTTCCTATGAAAAGTAGGATGAATTTATGAACATGAAGGTATCATTTATGTATCTATTGATTAAGACCTGCTATGTAATCGAATATAAGAGTTGACAAACTCTCAATAATAAGTGAAGAAGTAGGTATGAGAGGAAAAAAAATAGGCAAATGATTCCTATTAAAGATTCTGAAAGTGATCCATCGATTATTATTATGATTATTTTATTTATTATTCCCTTGGGTTCCTAGTGGAATATAGGGCTTCAACTGCACGTATCCACTTGTTTCTATCTTCTGCTGTACTTTTCACCTGCATCCATATTAATCCATACTGTTTCAACTCCTCTCCACACGATCTCCGCCATGTCACCCTTCGACGTCCCACTCACCCCTTCCCTTTCGGGTTCCACTCAAGCTATGGCCTGACGCGCGATATCACCCAACGGCCTCCTCAGCGAGTGTCCAATCCAACTCCACTTTCTCCTGCATATTTGTTGAGCGATTGGTTCTTGTTTTGTTCGTTCCCATAGTTTCTTGTTGGTGATTCTTTCCGGCCATCTGATCTTGAGTATAGAGCCAGCGAAGACAGTTGTTGATAAAGGTCTGCAACAGGCTGTTGGAAATATTCTTTGTGACACACTGGCCAAGTTTCTGATCCGTATAGAAGAATTGTATTGAAAATCGGAATTTTGTTGTTGATGCTGAGTGGCGAAGATTTCCAGATTGGTTTGAGGTTGACGAATGTGTTTCTCGCCTTCCCGATTCTCGATTTGACATCCTCATCCATTCCTCCTGTAGTTGAGACAATGCTGCCTAAATAAGTGAATGAAGTAACCTGTTTCAAATCTCTACCATTGATGGTGATTGGGTGTCGATTACTATCTATTTTTTGATGTCTCATTCAAACTCTTCAACCATTTGTTTGCAATATCTCAAATTACCCGAACTGAGCAGTCTACTTAACTCAATCCAACACAGTATGCTTCCGTATATATATATATATATATATATATATATATATGTCTAACCATCTTTTGTCTTTGCATGGAACTATATACTACTGACTGACTGGAATGAGTAGTTGCTACCATTCATACCAACCAGTAGTTCTTGCTGGTCAGCTAGATCGAGGTGATCTAAACACTGGACGACCGTTTCTCTCGTTCCGCACCAAGCTCATCCGTAGTGTATCCCGTTTTACTCAGCTTAGACAGTCGAATCAGTTGAAACCATCCGATTTCTGTCTAGCTAGCTACTTAAGCGACCTGGTAATACCAAAGATTCGGTTCACAATTGGTAAATTAGTTGGCGATTTGCACTGTACACAGTTTCCTTTGGGAACTGCTTGATACCTTAAATGGCAATCAAGAAAGCAAAGATATTTGCCTAAAACTATATACTACTGATTAAATGAGATGAATCCTTGTATTACCACTCTTAGTCTTTTTCTGAGTTAATTTTATTTATTTCACCTGAAATTGATTTTAAGGTAAGCTTTGGATTCGAACGTGTGATACATATATAAACAACCTCGATCGACAGAGGTTCACAATACCATAGGCTGATTTGATCTTTTCGTCTAGCACTATGCGTCGTGAAATGGGCGATCAGTCTTATATAGATGTGTAGGATCATAAACCAATCATCCTGCCAATTGCTTTCACAATCTACTGTCGAGTGACATATTCACATTCATTAAACACAAAATACATGAAGAGTTGCATGGATTGATGGCGAAATGATAGCCACTGTGGCTGTCTATTTTTTCTTAGTGTATTGCTTGAAATCTATGTATAGCTGTCAAGTGTTTTCACTAAACGATGTAAAGTGATACTACTATGCACTTTAGGGCGTTATGGCTCATTGATACTAGATGTTGGGAAGAATCAGTCATCGAGAAATCATAGATTACTGATTGATTGCATAACTTTGAAGATCGTCTAAAATTAAGAAGTCAGAAATTATCCAGTCAGGTTATTATGTCAGTGCATGCATCAGTCATAGCTTCCCGATTAACAAAGACAGTTAGTCCGTCCTAACACCTCCGCTTTTTAATAGATTTTCAGTTGAGGGACGACTGGAAGACATTTGGATAGTGAACGCTGAGTACGGCCGATATACCTGGCTCCATACGAGCAGGTGAATTGGTAGATGCACATAGATGAGGCCAACAGCGGTAGCTTATCCTTCACGTTCATGCGAATCTTTGTTCTCGTGGAGAACGTCAGTCGTAATTCAGCTGCAAAGAAGGTTCTCTTCAATGAGCGGGAGAACGGATTTCTCAGTATTTCTGTAGATTGGTCTCTATTGAACTGTAGGTTCATATAGAGTTTTTTTGGAGCACTGGGTGTGGACGGCTTCTCTGGTCTGGGTTTCATTGATTTTATGATAAATCTTTCTGGATAGCCATTTTCAAGGACCATTTTCTTAAGAGTGTTCATTTCATCTTCTATGGCGTCCAAGCTGCAAATTCTTCGTATTCTGTGGCTTAATGAACGGATTAGGTTTCGTTTAGTATATAGAGGCACCCAACTGTGGAAGTTAGTGAGCTGTCCGTTCCACGTTGGCTTTCTGTAGATGGATCTTTCAAATGTTCCGTCTTGTTGGCGTCTCGTTAGTTGAACATCAAGAAAAGATATCTTTGAGTTAGACTCTTTCTCTAGTGTGAACTGATACGCAGGGTGGCAGTTGTTGAAGAACTTCAACCACCACTCATTAACACTGTTGCCAACCTGACCTACTCTGAATTCTATTCAATTGTATTACGTCATCCAATTCACTTAATCAATTTTATTTTATTTTCTATCTAATTAACGTTTGTTTCCAAGCCAAATAATACTTATATTACGTAATTATCTAAACTTTATAAACCTAATGTACACACACACAAACAAAATTGTACATAAATGCGATTGTACAGCTCCGTGAATGAATTCGCCGAAAAGAGTCTCTTCGCTAAGCGCCTTCTCTTCTTTTGTATGACTGAATGGAAGATATTTGTAGGTCTGGGTATTCTCTCTCTATGAGACCTCCACCTCGAAATAGTTTGGAATCCTTGCCTGGTACACTGTTGACTTTACCAGCAAAAGTAAGGAAGTTATCACATTATTCCTTGGTCAGAATTAAACATTTGTAGCGGATACCGAATACTAATGTATGTTCCCCAAAAATTTTACGAAGAATTCGCTTGATCTCATCAAAATCAGTGTTAAGAGAACGTGTTTCTCAGAAAGATCGTTTATCAATCTAGACAATGCCTAACATATCCAAATCATTACGTTTGGTAAAATAACATAAATCTTTAAAGTTCTTTGAAATGAATTGAGTATCATAAGAGATTTCACCAAGTGAGTTCACAATATCTACTGAGTCAATTTTAGCAACATAGCACGTAGTGGGAGCTGGAGAGAATTCTTCCCTCTACTCTGAGATAGGTGATAGTGTAGCAACAGAAGACAAGGTTCAGGCGACAGATCGTTTATTTAGGAAATCAACACATATTTATAGATTTTCATGTACATTATAGATTATTTTAAGCAAACAACGACAGTCTTGTGATTGGTGGTTTCTCGCTGAACGTTAATCTTTCATCTCTTTGTGGCCGTTTACTGAAGTTCAGATTATCTATCTGCAAATTGTATCCGCCTACGCAAAGTCTGCTGTGGTTGGTTGTTGAATCAGTCTTCGTTCTTATTTTTCTCACGACCAATATTGGGGACGTAAACATTGAAGTAAATTACTGTCTACCAATTTTGGTTAGCAGCCAGGTCTCACCACAATAGTATCATTACGACCAGTTTATTTGGATTTTCTAAATATTCAAACAGTTTCTGTTCATCCCATTTGATAATACCTTTGCTTTTGTTAGCAAGAGTGTAATCATATCTAAGAGCCTGTCCTGTTTTACAACTGAAGACTCCATGTAGATTAAGTCCTGACTTATGTGGGTCACTTTTTTCTACTTTGTAACAATGAGCATATTTCTGAACTAATAATTTCTTGTCTTTGTCAGCATTATCCTCGGAGTAAGGCATCGTAACACACATACTGATAAAATAAAATAATCTGATTTCAAGATAGATCACGATCTGACTTCAGTTAGACAACCAGTGATATCTAGTACTCACTATAGGATGATGTTATCTGCAGTTCTAGTAGGAAATTGTGACTAGTGGGATCCACTAACTCGAGTGTGTGGACAAAAACTCGCCAATGAAAGTGACTGGACGATCGGATTATATCCCATTGGCTGAATGGTCAATGAGCCCCTGGTAGAGTAAGAAGTGAGTACTGGTGAAGAGTCTGTGACTAGGACGAAACAGCTATCCAGTACTCCTTAGTGGTTTTCAACGGTTCCCCAACTGATATTTCTTCGTGAAAATAATGTGTAGTTTACAAGACGAAAATATTTTTAATTTCAATAAAATTAATGCAATTCTTTTTCTTTATTTTGTAATAATTTCTTTTAGTCAAGTTAATAATAATAATAAACTGTTGGTTACACCATCAAATCAGTGTGGTTCTGTATCATGTTCTACATGTTATGGAGGTATAAGAAAGAATTGTTTATCCTGTTCACGAGACTACTATTTACTAGAGATAACTCTTTTCAATGCTCTTCAAAATGTTGATTTATTCAATGGAAATTCGATTATTAATAATAACAATCATAAGAATAATAAGAATAAGAATAATAATATCTCATCCACATCTGCATTGTCTTCTTCGTCATTATCAACTTCGCCGACTTCCTCTACACCTTCAACAACACAACTGAATGAAATAAATTATCCAGTTAACAACATATCAGCATCATCAGTAGACACTGACACTACTATTATACCTGAATTGACTCCTTTGACGTCAACATCGAAATCTATGCCTACAGATACTAGTGCCACTACTACTACTACTACTCCGACTCCGACTACGACTACTATTACAACTACAGACGACAATGCAGTAAAAAGTTTATCCTTATTGAAGAGAACAATGAAGAACAACAAAGCTGTGCTTATATCAAGACGTTTTGTAAATACTAATGGTGTGATGAATAATCCTATTTCTAACAGTCTTAATTTATCTTATCCTAAATTTATTTGTGTACATATTTGTCCTACGGGATATTATGCAAGAAGGATATCAGTTGGTGCGGATGAAATTACACTATGCTCTAAATGCCCTCCATCGTGTTCCAGTTGTACAGGTAATTGCTTTTTCTATGCATTTTACATAACTATTAATGAAATGATAATAATAATAATATCAATGGTTCTCTAACTGATATCAGTCCGTGATCAACTCGTAAAACATAACTAATCCTTACAAACCAAACTTTAGAAGAATATCAAGAAAGTTATTTGATATTCATTATAATAAAGGTTTCCCTGTATTTCCCAATGAATGAAAAACAAAACGATATTGTTTTTACTGACGTTTCACTATTTAATGCTAATAGCTTTATCAAAGTATTATTAAACCGGAATTTACAAAATCTCAGCATATATATAACAAAGAGTTAAGGGGTGAGAAAATAGACTTAGGTCAAGTTAAAGGGACATATTGAAAGTCAAAATAACAATGAAGATCACTAAACCAAATAACAAAGGTAATAGTACATCTGTTATGATATCAAAACAAAGTTTACTAACTTGATGATCGTTCGTTAGTCTGGGGTCATTTTTCGTTGTCAAGTTGGTCATTTGATAAAGATAACAAAATCAAAATCAAGTGTAGATTGTTGGATTTGATCAGTGTTTAAAGTTATAAAAGCAGTGTGCGCTTGCATAGTGAACTTGCTTATCACATTCGTGTTGATATGGTCACTTCATAGGGGAGGGGAGGGAGGTGTTATAACCAGGTCAGATTCTGTTTTAGTCCATCATTCCTATTCAGACAATTTGGATTCCACTTGATATGAAGTGCTTCTGAGATTAGATAAAATGCTTGGAATGTTATGCGATATACATCGGACAAACATCTCGAGAAATCAAAATCAGAAGTAATGAACACCGTAGAGCATCTGTTCGACCACCAAGAAATCCAATTGAACTGGAAAAACTTGGAAAATCATCAACCATAGGTCTACATGCTATAGAATCAGGTTACAAAATTGATTTTGACAATATTGAAATAATCCAGAAAAACTTCAGAAATCATAAAGAACATCTAATATCAGGAGCACTTCATATCAAGTGGAATCCCAATTGCCTGAATAGGAATGATGGACTAAAACAGAATCTGACCTGGTTACAACACCTTCCTCCCCCATGAAGTGACAAAATCAACACGAATGTGATAGGCAATTTCATTATGTAAACACACACTGCTTTTATAATTTTACACACTGATCAAATCCAACAATCTACACCTGGCTTTGTAATCTTTACCAATTGGTCAATTTGATAAGGAAAAATGCCACCATGCTGAGGAACGATGATTAAGTTGTTATATATTAGCTGAGATTTTGCAAATTCTGGTTTAATAATACTTTGATAAAGCTATTAGCTTTAAATAGCGAAACGTCAGTAAAAACAATATCGTTTTGTTTTTCATTCATTGGGAAATAGAAAAACCTTTATTATAATAAATATCATATACCCAATACCCAAATTTTTTCAAACTGTTTAAAGTGAACTTGGTTTGGACATATATAAAGTTATGTGATAGTCAGTTAGCTCACAACTCGATAATTTATGTTTCTTTCATACATACAAGAAGTTGACTGTTGTTCGAAAGATACATAGAAGATAGCAGGTAGTATCATCCGACATTAATCACTGGATGTCTTTGTTTCATTTTCTTTGTGTGTGTGGGTGTGTTCTGAGGGAAACATAAAGCTCCAAGCTTTGAAGTTTCAGTAGCAGAGGTGTTACTAACCTCACTGACTGACTGAGTTTTGGCATACAACTTAGCACAGAAGCATCTTTTCAGCTGCAGGGGGAAAGGATGAAGATATCAAAGCCAGCCAACCAGAATCGGAAACGCAGGATATGCTTTCATCAACCTGGAACCAGTTTGGAAATCTTCTACACTCAACATAAGGAACAAAACTCGGATTTTCAACACCAATGTCTAGTCGGTCCTTCTATACGAGTCAAAAACTTGGTGTGTAACGAAAAGGATTTCCAACAGGTTGCAGACTTTCATCAACAGATGCCTTCTCTGGCGCCATACTGCAGATCAAATGGCCGGCTGGCCAGAAAGAATTAGTAACAATAAACTCTGGCTAGCTGGCTGGGAGCAAGAGCTGATCGGTCAACAAATACGTAGGAGAAAATGGAGGTAGATCGGACACACGTTGAGAAGGTCATCGAATGACATCGCAAGTAATGCAGGCCATCGCTCGAGTGGAGTCCCAATGGGAAGTGACGAGTGGGTTGTCCTAAGGTGACGTGGAGGAAATCGTGTGTGGAGGAGGAGATGAGAGATTATGGGTATTCGGAGACCCAGCTGAAGAGGATGACGGAAAATAGAACAGAGTGGAGATGTGTTGTTGAAGCCCTATGTTCTACTCGGAACCCAAGGGAACAATAATAATACACCGATTCACGTTACCTCACTCTATGCCTAAATTAGAGAAAAAAGAAATGCCAAAGAAATGTGCTTAACATAAATGTAGAGTAACATGAAAAAACTTGAGGGTTTAATAAATATGGAATGTCACAAAGAGTGAATAAATCTCCGCCACTGACAGTGATTTTGAGCCACATCACCGATATTCCCCAGCCCCTGAGGACTTCAACCAAGCAGTCTACACCTCCCTACTCTATTGACTCAAACCAGCTGCAAAAGACCATGGATTGATGCAATGTTTTGATTTGACCACTACTCCTAACTCTTTTTCACCTTAATCCTATATCACCTAACATTTCTTGTCGATCAAGACAGTGGCTTGGCACGCACCTGGCATGTCTCAGCCATCTTAGTCGATTCACCTTCACTCTATAGATTGACTTCCTCTCTTTACACTTAACACTCGATGCCTGACCTCAGTATTACTCGCTGTACTGTACCAATTAATATGGGAGATTGAATGCATTTACACTACGAAACCATACTACGAATAGTAGCTGTATATACTGTTCTCTTTATTAATTTTTCTGATTTTCATCAATAGTAATTCAGCAGTCACATTTTTTTAGACGATAGAGTTTAAATACAAACGTTTCTTCGATTAATACACAGTTTTGTTCATCGAAGAAGTATTCTTTCCTACGAATTCATTTTCAAGCTTTACGGTCATATTCGTATTACAAAGAGAAAGGTACTAAGTGGTACTGGAAATTATTCAGTCAATATACATATAACAAGAGTGAGAATGTATTATTATAATATTACTATTCTCTTGGGTTCCGAGTAGACCATAGGGCTTCAACAACATATCCCCACTTTGTCCTATTCTCTGCTGCCCTCTTCAGGTGGGTCCACAAACACCCATGATCTCTCATCTTCTCCTCCACACACTATCTCTTCCACATGACCCACTCGTCGCTTCCCATTGGGACTCCACTCGAGCGATGGCCTGCATTACTTGCGATGTCATTCGATGGCCTGCTCAACATGTGTCCGACCCACCTCCATTTTCTCCTACATATTTGTTGACCGATCAGCTCTTGATTGGTTTGTTCCCAGCCAGCCAGAGTTTATTGTTGCTAATTCTTTCTGGCCGGATGGCCATTTGATCTTCAGTATGGAGACAGCGAAGGCAGCTGTTGATAACTGAAGATAACTGACATGATTTTCAAAGATGGCGAAAATGAAGTGAAGTGGAATGAATTTAACCGATAAAATAAAACAGAAACCAAGATTACTGTGATCAAGGTAACCAAAGGAGTTTAACAAAAATTTCAGAAATGCATAATTTAAGTCTTTGTCCTTATACAGCCGAAGCTTTTAAAAATGACCGAATTTAGCTTTGACCTGACTCAAGAAAGTATTCACAGATAGAAGACTTCATTATCCTTTATTCGCCTTTCATCAACCAAGCTGGTTTGTTTTCAGCTGCGTATTTCCGAAGAACATATAATATTCAATGTAATCCGCTCCACATGAGTAAATGAAAGAGTACATATACATTGAAGTTGTTGAAAAAAATGTATATTTCTTTCAATATGACCACGGATCGATATCGGTTATAGAACCATTGAAGACCTGGGAATACTGAGTCAGGTCCCAGTGACTGAATGGTCTACGAGTTTGTCTTGTAACCAGAAGGTCTTACATTTTGAGCCCCAGTGGGTTCGAACTGCCGACGAGACCAAAACTAGGGGGAAACAGTTGGCCAGTTCACCCTGGTTTTCAGTGGTTCTCTAACCGATGTGAGCTCGTGATCAAACTTGCAACTAATCGAATCCCAACAGGCTAACTCTTGAAAATATTTCTTTACTGAAGAAAGCTGCGTGTTTACCCTACTCATATTAAATAGTTTTTATGTGTTAATCTAAGGTCTAATTATAAAATTACTGAAACAAATATATTCGTTTAAATTGTGTTTTTCCACAATTTTCATAACCCAGATATTTAATTCGCCACTTAATCTTTTTTCTACTCTCCTATGTGTTATGTTTCTTTGTGCTTACTTCCTCTTTGTATTCTTTTTGGGGAACTATAGTGAATTGAACAGCTTTCATGCTCTGTTATTTACCCTAACCTTTGTCTGCATTGATTTAAGTCAGTTTTAAACGTTATTCCGCTTTATTCCGAACGATTCTTTTGGTACAAATATGGAATTTCCAGGATGTAATACAATATTGCATCTAATTTTCTCATTATAGGCGCAATAATTAAAATAGGGCAATTCACATTAATAATAATTTACATTAATAATATTGTTCGATAAGAAATGAGTATAAAATTAAATCAAGTGAAAATATTAACGACAATGTAACAATGAGAACAAACAAAAATGCCGTTTATACTTAGAGTTCCTCAGTAAGTTGGTCATTTCCTGCCTTACACTTTTCTCACTACATTAAATGTGTGCTAAATAAGGTGGTATTGTAGAGTTTCTGTGCGTATTCGTTCAAGCATACAGCCTTCTGTAGTTGCTTATAGTTTCCCTGTCCGATAAGATGCAAGGTGAGAGTTGTTCATGAAGAGGATTCTCAGAATCTGACAAGATAATATTCGAATAAGACATTAAGAAGACAAATTTCGCGAGATGATATCTTCGTTTCGTAGTTTCTTTACAACCGCTTTACAACT